ACATTGTGGGCGGAGCCTGCTCCGAGGTGGGCGGAGCCAGACAAAAGGTCTGTAAAACGGTTCCAGAGCACTCCGAAGACCGGAAAAAAGTGGATTAAGGTCAGCAGAGGGTCGTCGGTGAGGATTGTGGGGCACAAACATTGTGGGCGGGGCCTGCTCCGAGGTGGGAGTCAGACGAAGAATCTGTAAAATAGCTCAAGAGTACTTCAGACACCGGAAAAAAGTGGAGTACAGAACAAAAGGGGATATCAGTTGAATCTAGAAATATGTGAAAGAAAGCACGCGCGGCGAAGCCGCGCCCGCCCGGCGCAGCCGGGCCGTATCAGAAGGAGCCGCGCCGGCGTCAGCCGGCGAGGCGACTGGTAAATAAGAAATGTTTCTATATCAGTCAGAAGGGTAGAGTATGCGGAAGAGGGACAAAAGCTGCTGCTGTGACTAGAAGTTTCTTTTTGCTTTGGTTGTTGCGTACGTCTCTGTGACGGTGCAAATAATATTGGCTTATGTATATCACGACAAATAGGGACTTTGTATCCTCATAATCGTTTTATTCTACCTCGAGGAACAGCCTTCCCATCCCTATCTGAGATGGTCGCTCAAAGAACACGGGAAAATCGGAGCAGATGACTGGCCGGGCTGTAAAATGAAGTTAATGTTGCATCGGTGCCCGTCCCCTCGAGTCTTTTGAACGAGTTTCACCATTTCCCCCTCAAGCCAAACAAATGCTGGCTTCAGCAGTGCTGTCGAAAAGAGGTACTGAATCACACCAAGGCGTGGCAACCTTTTCTTACCATGTCTGCCTGTGAAATGGGATCGGACCGTGTATTTGCCTGCTGCTACTAGAGGGCACTGTTGCTCATCTTTCTATCGAAGAGATCTACTTCTCTCGAACCCTTTTTGAAAATAATCGGACATGGAAAGTTGAAAAGTTAGTGGCATCTGCGGGAGAAGGCGGCGGCTGCGGTGCGGGGGCTGACAGCTGAGAAAAAACCATCGAACTATCAGCGAGATATTTTATAGATGCGAGATTCTGACTGAATGAAGCCGAGCACTATTCATTAATAGTTCACTCGTACCGAAAGTTCAAGAGATGCGGAATATCGCGGAACACTGTTCACAAGATGACAGTTGACTCAAAGTGAAATATTCACAGAACAGCTCTACATATGCCGCATTCAAATGAAGGCCGCCGCCACACCTACCGCTTCTCGGAAATGTTTTAACTTCATGCAGTTGCTATCTTCGCATTCAGTAGGGTCCGTTCCAAGGTGGGAGGGGAAAAGGGGATGGACCAAAACCACCTGCGGCGTTCCCACCACTGTTTGTTTTCTTCCTAAATCGATGAGCAGTCGATCACCATTGGTTAGTGCAAGACAGCCGCAAGCAGGCTTATTGCATTCTCCTCACACCGCCCCCGACCAGGGCACATCGTTGTTGGGAAACGGGGAGGGGGTCGTATTTGGCCGCCAGGAGAGGGGGTCGTATTTGGGCTGGGAAAAATTTATTTTGATAGTTGATTTTTCTCGCTTCACGGACGTTGTAAAGGGGGGGGGGTCGTACTTGCTCATTGTTGGGAGGGGGGGGTCGTATTTACTTTTTGGCCTTTTAGGGAAGGTTGAGAGTGGTGGTTGACTTTTCGTTCGTTATTTTCCTGTTCCTGACTACTACATACCCCCTTGCTCACCCCCTCCCCCCTCGTTCGACGGCTCGATTCGATGAGGAGCGACAGAGGGCCGGAAGGAGGGTCGTATCAATCCCCAACCAAAAGGCCGGGGGTCGTACGAACTCGACCAAAATCCCCAACCAATGGTGTGCCCTGCCCCCGACTGATTGTCATATTACAAGGCTATACATGTTGCCCTTCCGCCCTGATTCCTCACGACTATGCCTTTTTATTGCCCTCAGATATGGTCTGCATTGCATGAGAGTCATGGGTTTGCTGAAAATATTACGACTTACTTAAACAAAGAACAAGCTTTGGCAAGAGTTTCTGCGACACCGCACCGCCCAGGACTAAATGTGAAATGTTAATCCGGTTTCCCCTCATTTCAGGAAGAACTTTACGATGCTCTGCAAAGAATTCAACGAATACACCCGCCTCATTCCTCTCACATTTCTCCTCGGATTCTACGTTTCCAGCGTTGTCTCAAGGTGATTCTCTTCTTTACACTGCTACGTTTACGTAAGAATTAAAGCTATCTGAATTATTCAGATGGTGGAGCCAATTTGAATGTCTCAGTTGGCCAGAAGACCTTTTATCAGTAGTCTGCTTAATTCTTCCCGAGAACACGGAGGACACGAGAAGGAAACGGCATCAGATCGCTCGCTATGTCAACCTGGTTGCCGCTATTGCATGGTTCTACACTGAACGCGTTCGTGCTTCCATGTGATCGTACTTCTAATGATGCTCTTTTGCTACAGGCGTGACGTCTCCGATAAAATTCGCCTTCGCTTCCCTACTTTTCACAATTTGGTTGACGCTGGTCTCATGACGGAATCTGAATTCCTACGTCTCGAGAAAATGGAGGTGAATTTGCCTTATGCGACTTGGTGTTAATTTGTGAGCGGGCATTCTAGCCTACAAAAGTTGATTTTTCAACAGCTGTGGGGGTCGAAGCGTTTTTTTGGGATGTTGTGGCAACACTGCGCCCTTTTCTTGCTGATTCCTTTTCTGGATACTGACATTCTTCCGAAGCTTTGAGATGGAGGAACCTTGGTGTACAGTTCCACTTGAAATTTCCAACACAGTAATTTTCTTGCAAAAAATGGAGCAATTCCATAAAACAGTCAAATTATCATTAAGTCACCATCGCCAGGCGTTCGATGGATTGCTCCACTCCTCTGGATACAGCAGCTTGTCACAGTTGAGGTAGGTCCCTCATCATAAATTCACTTGAAGCTTTCAAGCTTTCAACAACTAGCGATACTCTTGAATTGGTGGAGCTGGCCTTCTAGGTAAAAAATGAGCATTCGAAAATGCTTGGCTGTAACTCATGGTCAGTAGGCAACGTAATAGGCTGCCACAGCAGCATATGAATGTTCAGCTCTGAACGCAGTGACTCACCTAACCATATATACCATTTTCACTTCAATTCAGGATTTTTCAAACCAAATTCACGCTTTTTCGAACCAAATCCACGACTTTTTTACTTTGCTCTCTAGTAAGGCATGTTTAATCAAGTCTGGGATCTGTGTTGAAAGGCCGTGAATTTGATTTGAAAAGTGATAAAGTTGTGAATTTGGTTTGAAAAGTCGTGAATTCGAAGTAAAAAAATGTTGTATCAGTATTGTTACACTCTTGAAGACGAACTGTACACTCACCTACGTAGAACCCGGCTCTTGCTGTGAACGGGCACCACGTGCTTCATAGAAATGTGTTTGGGAACGGGGTTGCAGAGCAGTGATACCCCGGTCGTTCGTGACTCCGCCCAAGCTGCTGCTGTGCCAGCTTACACACTTCATCATAACCAAGTGCGCTTCTTGTCCGCGTCTTCCCATATCTAGTTGTTCTTCACCACCGACTGCGTGTTCTCTGTGGAATTTTGATGGACGCAACTACTGCATCTTGCAGATAGTGGAGTCCCATATGGCACCTGGGTACCACTATTCTTGAGTCTTACTTCCTCCCAAGTACCAAAGGTGTTTGGCCCCCAGATGGAATTATACACTTTGTTTTAATTGTAAAAACAATCAATTCAGGTTGAATCTGGACGAGCCGCAACGAACTATCTGTCAGTTTTCGCCAACGAAATGAAACAATATCGTTCATCGTTTCGCAAACTTTTCTGCCATGACTGGGTGTGCGTGCCGCTCGTCTACACGCAGGTAAAAACACTGTTACTAGTTGTAGCGATCCAGTGTGAATGCGAAACCACAGATGAGTGCACAAGACCTGCTTGCAAAGAAGTTTTGGTAACCACTTGCTGTGAAACACGTTCCCGTGAAAGCATGACTCTGCAAGAAGGGGAACAATTCATAATGGGTATCACGATTGTACCCTTAGTTCAAATACTTTTCACAGTCCTCTGCGGCTTCCCTCCTCCTCCTCACTACGAAGATGGAAAATAGTGTCTGTCCTTGCTTTTCTTACCAGTTCGAGTTAGCGACTGAGCGTTTCGTTGAGTTCCATTTTTTTTCGCTGCTTCTTAAAATTATTGGGCTGACAATGGGAATGTCGTTCTTAACCAGTAGTCAGTTTTGTAATAAAAAAACATAAAAGGATGAAGTCTGCCCCATTGATCAATCCCTTTGTGAGATGCGGCACACATTCTACACTTAGAATCTCTGAGACGCGGTAGGCGTGGCTGCGTACTTGGACGAGCGGTTGCTGGGCTTTTACCGCAGATACTCTCATTTTGGGGCAGTTGTAATCATGTCTCTGCCCAACACAGAACAAGATGACAGTTGTCTCAAATCGAAATATCCCACGAGTAACCCATTCTATGCCATGTTCAAATGCCACGCCTACTCCGTGTCAGGGATAGGGAGTATACTTTGGTTCAGAATCGTAGTGTCCTGC